TAAAAAAAAAAAAAAAATCAGAAGTGAAACCTACTTTCATTAAGGAAACTGAAGTTTCAGCTATAAAGAACCAGGATTTAATTCCAAATATTTAGGAGGTATTTCAAGAAAAGCTATAATAAAGACTAGATGAACAGAATGCGAGTAGTGCAAAACAGTAAACTCTAGCAATAATCTAATTCATGATACAGGTAATATTTGAAAACTAGCTTATGTTTACACAAAAACTTCAAAATGTTATGAAAAAACACTGTGCAATCCTCTAGTACAGAGGGGTCACTGAGCTCCTGGAGGGGGGACCGGGGATACATTTTGATGGCAGTGGGGCAAGCAATAGCTTGCCCTCATGGCAGATGTGGGTCCTGATCCAGCCCTCAAAGAGCCCCATGGTCCAGATGTGGCCCAGGAGGCCAAGAAGTTGACATTTCTGCTATAATACAAAATTGAAAATAACGGCTTTTCTTTCTTTTAAAAGTGATTTTGCCAATTCTCATCCCATTCTTGCTGATTTCCACCATAAACAAATCTTATTTTAGCAATCTGCTGGGTTTAAAAAGGTTGGGTTTTTTTGTTTTTTTTTTTTAAGCACAATGGTAGTTTCTACCATCATCCTTTAATCTGATACACACACAGTTATAAAATCACTAATAAAAGAGAAAACTAGAACTTATGTAATTCTTTCAATAATTTCCTTGCTTTATTTCTTAAGCTTTCCACTTCTAACATAATTTCTGATGCATGTTTTATCAAATGTTTTCAGTTAAAACATCATTATCTTCCAGTTTTGTTATAAGCAAGCTTTTAGAAGACCTACCATCTCAATAAGCCCAGTTTTTCTCCCTCTTTCCCCTCACATTAAGGTACTTTAATTTCACTATTCTGACCATATATTCATGATTTTTATTATTTCCTGTCACATAACAAGTAGTGTGAGACAAAAATCCAAGTTCTGTACATGACCCCAAAGTACACAGTTATATTAACCACTTAAAAATTCAGGTAAGGTAACCGACTGTTAGAAAAGAGTGGCCACATCAAAACTGTTTTGACAGTGCTAAGTTGCCTTAACAATGACATACGTAAACTAAATTAACAAGCAGCTTTTAACATGTTCCCAGAGGAGAAAGAGAACCTGTTTAAGGGTAACAGCATCATACCATTTCAGGACATCTATTACTTTGTCTATTTTTAATCCCTGATGCACTTCACAGAGTGAAAGCCTAAGGAAAGAACAGTCAAAACAATCACAGGCTGTCATTGCATGCTCAGGAATCTTAAAGGCTCAATCAAAGCCTATGTTATGTAAGAAAGGTTGTATGTCAAACACCTGTTTAGCAATACACATGGCAAGATTAATTTATAATTAATCTCAATTCATACAACTGCATGCAATACAAATTAGCTTGAGACTTCCAAAGGCCAAAACCCTTCCCACATTTTACGCATTTTCCTTGGTATATGAAGGCTTTTGTTTTTATGTATGGGGTTTTGTTTTTATGTGGGGGGGGGGTCTGCTGCTGTCAGGCAAGCAGGGGCACCTCTGCATGGCAGTGCAGGGCTCTCAGTAGTGGCACAAGCCTCAACAAGGCTGCCCAGTGGCCATGTGCACCTTGCCTGACCACCTTCTTCCCACTATCCCCCCAGCCCCTTGCAGGCTGAAACTGTCAGCCTGCAAGGGGAAACCCACTTTCTTCCCCACATTTTTCTCCTTTAAAAGAAAAAATCTGGGTTCTTTCTTTAAAAAAAGAAAATCCAAGCTTTACTTTGTTTTTCAGTGGTGAATGAAAACCTGGATCCCTGGTGATGAAACAGCTTAAGGCACAGACAAATGTACACTTGGAGTGACTTCAAAAGTGGAGGGAGGCTGCTATTTGGCAGTACAGGCAGTCCTCCACTTACAACATTCTGAGTTACGTTTATAAATTGACACCTGTTTCAACTTTACAACGCCAATTTTGACTTTACAACGCTTGATCTGATGCGACGCCACGCCACGCCAGCAAACATGTTCACTGCGTGGCCCATCTCCCTGGAGAACATCTTTCCAAACTTCCTTGGACACTTTCTTTTAAGAAAGCAGAGAAGACTCCAGAAAAACCTGCAGCCAAGACTGCTGAGAAGACTCCAGCCAAGAACCCTTCAAAAGTCCAACCAAGAGTCTTTCAAAAAGTCCAGCAAAGTCACCTCGAAGTCCTTCCAAATCAATATGATTGTTATTTACAATATAAATACACCAATGTAGTTAAATTACTCATCTCTAGTTGATCGAGTACAAAATTCTGGGGTATTTTTGGTGAAAATGGGGTATCAGGCCTTGGTTGAGGAACTAATCCCCCATTTATAATACTGTTTCCTTTGAGAAAATTATTCCAAGTTACAACGTTTCAACTTAAAACGTGGTTTTCAGGAAACAATTGTGTCGTAAGTCCAAGGACCGCCTGTACACGGCAGCTGTTATACTCAATTTTTTACGAGTACATGAGCTTGTAGTTCAGTGGTTCTCAATCAGGGTGCCATAAGATCTTTTCAAAAGCTGATGCAGTGCAGCCACTGCTGAAATAGCAGCCACAGCACCCCAGTTAAGAAATACCAAGGCAGCCTGAGGCAATAACCAGTGGTTCTCAATCAGGGTGACAAATTCAGAAAAGTTATGTAAAAGTTATGTATCCCTAAAAAAGGTTGAGGACCACTGCTTAGAGTCAAATGAGCTAAACTGCCTAAATTCGAACCTGAATGAAACAGGCAAAGCTGGAGTGGTTCTGTTACACTTGCATCACTACAGGCTTTTGAACAGGTAACTTAACAGCTAAAAGCTGCTGCTCAGCTCGGAGCAGAAGCTCCCCTCCCAGGGGTATATCTGTCTCTTCTTAATCTAATAAGGGAGTAGATGTTCAGCTAGTAAGAATCTTCAAAATGTGTCCGGATGCAGGGTAGGGCAGGGCTATCTGTTCAAAACACTTCAGCTGATCTCTACCATCAGGAGACATGTGGAGATATACACCGTATTTTTTCATATACACCACCACCCCCTTTTCTTTCCCCACACCTCAAAAAATATTGGCATTAGTGTACTAAGCAGAGAAGCTGATTTTATGCCCAGGACAAAAGCACCCTGCTTTAATTACTGCTCCAGTACAACAGCAGTGCCCTTATAATTCAGGTAGCTGAGGGAGTCAATTGACTTAATCTAAATTGCTCACTTTATAGGTATTAATAATTGCCTCTCCTTTTTAATGATCTTGATGTTCCCTAAATCAATTTAACATTTTAGGACAATACTGCTGTCTGCTAGGTGCTCTCAGACTCTACCCTATTTTACAGCACTGGAGACTCTTTAGCTCTTTTCAAAATCATAGATCCTTCTATGGAGACCAGTTTTCAACAGCAGCTAGTGTTTCAACTTCAGTTACCCAGGAAAGGGAGGATGAGCTGGCTGAAAATTAGGCTCTGTCCCTGCTCTGTATAGCCATAACTCTGAAAACACCTTTCTTATCTGCCTTTTTTTTTTTTGTGAAAGGGAGAATGAAGAACAAGTGCATATTATATTCTATGGCATGTTTCACATTAAAAAAAAAAAAAATACAGCAGCCACCAAGGTACCAGGAACTCACGAGAAACATTTTATAAATCAGCCCCAACATTTATAGCACATTTTGTCGTCTATGAAATAAAGCCACCATATACAAGATACTGATAATTAAAGCACAGAACTGGATTCTGCATTAGCAGAATTTAGCTATTTTCAAATGTTATGCCAAGCAACAATTGTGGTGAGATCAACTCCAAGAAAAAACAGTTATAGTTTTCTAAACAGCTGAGGACTCTTATTTTCATTCTACATGATGCATTAGCTTCAATATGAAAACAAATGCAGCCATATTCATGAATAGGTTAAATCCATCTCACTGTCCAGATGAGGCAACTGACCCCAAGTGAAAAACCATGTGAACTCTGCTGCTTCCAGTGCCAGAACTACATGTGCAGAGCAGTCTTCTGCAGGGAAGGTGAGCCTTGTGGTCCACCAGTTGAGATAGAAGGAAAGGTGGAGTTGTACCTTACAGACTGACTATATCAGAATCTGTAAGGTGAAAAACTACTTTGTTTTTTGCCTTAAAAAAAAAAAAAAAGAGAGCAACTAAATCCCATTCATTTGGAAAGACTCAATTTCTCTCATTCTCGTCTGAACCCCCAGCCCGCTGTGCCATCATCTTTTCTTCTGATGAACCATACTGGTACCTTTAGTATTCCCCCATTTTTCATTGATATATCATCAACTTCAAGGTGGTTTATGGCCATGGCTCTTCTGGCTAACGAAAGACAGACATTTCACTGGATGCCAAATTTTAGAGCAAGTCAGCATTTTAACAAGTGCTATTGCTACATTTTAGCACTAACAAACAATCTTAACTCAGATAATGCTCCAATCAACTTCAACAGAGGTTGAATCGTGAGTAAAAATTGAATAGGGCATTTATATAAAACAGTTAACATTTAATATGCTAAACATGCATTAGTTCTCAAAAAGAGAATCTCAATGGTAGCTCAACAGTTGTTTAATAAATTCTTTTAACCCTAAGTTAAATACAGTTTTAGGGACAGGTTTGCACATACAATTTTTATACTTACGCTGTATGTGAATCAGCTGCTTTGGCATCTTAAATTCTCCAGGGTATATAGATTCATAGTAAGCAATATTACTTTCTGCTTCTGGGACTGGTATAACCATATTATCCCTCTTCTCTCCATATACCTGTTGTGCTGAGATAGCACGCTGGAGATGATGTTCCTATAAACAAGAGGTTGAAAAATTAAAAACAAATACACTTTTCAGAGGTACACAGTAAGGTATGGGGGGG